TCTGGAGATTAGTCATGTAAACATTTGCTTGGCAACTGGTTTCTTCAGGAAGTTAATTTGCAAACCTCCATAGATAATTTAATTTATTACTTTACCAAACAGCAAACTGTTTTAAGAGAAACCAAAATGATTTCATAAAAAATTTCAAAAGTAAACAAAAATGAATTAAGCAGAGGAAGAGCACACTTGAAAGGATCTAACTTCCAATAAAGAATTATGAAATATTGTATCTTAAATACATGGGCTTCATCTTGCTCCGTATGTTCAGAATGCCAAGGCATTGTGCAAATCCAGAAGCTAGATTTGCATATAAAAAGTATATTTGTAGTTCATAAAAGTACCTTTGGATGAAAATTTTGAAATTCAAGATAAAAACCTAGTCTGTAAAAAAAAAATGTAGACTGGCAAAACACTAATTTACTTTGAGTAAGTATAATACAATTCAAAATGAGGCAGGAGAAAAAGGCTTTAAAAGATATGAAAGTAAATTGTTCTTTGTTTCTTTACAGCCCAAACTCACTGAATATAGTAACAAACAGTCCTAACTGCCACTGAGCTTGCTGACAAAGTGATGTTCAATAAACACCCACTGATGATACTAAAAATAAGATATTTGGAAAGAAAGTAATATCTTAGAGATGCACACAATTTTGAACCAAATATATTCTTCCATATAATAGAACTTGATATCTGAAGCAGAAAATAATATTGAGCAGATTAACATACTCTGTCCCCAGATGATTTTGTTTCCTCATATACATAGCTAAATCTGTAAAGTGCCCTCTAGAAATGTTTATTTGAATCTATAAATGACTCTTTTATTACTTAGCTACTCAAAGTAATTATGATATGATAATAAGTGATATTTTAAGTTCTTTTTGAAAACAATAATGCATTCTGATAATATTATACAGAATTAAAAACCCGACGCACAGAAACTCTTCTGACATGACTGTCTGTACTTGCTAAAGATCAGTTAGATAGTAGAAATGAACCATTTGAAGTTCACTGCTAAGTCAAATTTGACTTTGTAGTTTAAAGTCAAATCATCATTATCAAATATGGAATGTGAATACAATGGATTTGATTGTTTTAAATGAACCTATAAGGCACAACAATAATCTAGTCACTTAGAAAGTAATGAAGCATACTGAAATTTCTTCTGTGAAGGTAGATGATACAAAACCCAGAAGCCCTTTGCCTTTGAACAATTCTATCCATTCCAAAGTAAAATACACCCCCATCACTTGGGTTTGGCCATTCCAGTGACAACTATATGTTAGCTTACCCTGCTTCCTTACTCATTTACATTTTATTAGGAGGTCAAGGAACGGCTCACTGTGGAGGTCACATTCAAGTTGACACCTGCATAAGAAGTGTCAGCAATAAGGCCACTTTGGGAGTAGAGACTGGTGGGGAGAAAGAGAGAGGTCAGAGAGCTCAGTAAAGTCCAGACCATGCACAGCTTCAGGCCAGGTAAAGAATGGGAAGCTACTGGCAGATTTTAAGCAGGGGGATGTCATGATCTAATGTTTTCAAGAGACCACTCTAGCAGGAGGAGTGTGGTGGAGTGAGAGTGGGTGTGGGTAGAGCAGTTATATGACCATTTAAGTGATCTTAGCAGACATGATGGCAGCTCTGCAGTGAAGACCAGGAGATGAACATGGGATATATTTTGGAGTTGTATCTGATCGGGCATACTGATGGATTAGAGGGGAGTAGCAGTAAGCAAGGTAAAACTCAAGGCTGCCTTGATGATATTTGCTGAATTGAGGAAAGGCTGTGGGAAGAATATTGCGGATAGGAGAGGAGTAGGGGTGAAGCAAGAGTCCAGTTTTGGGTTATATTAACCTCGGAATGTCTGTGATATATCCAAGTAGACACATCAAGGAGGCAATTGGATCTAAAAACTTTCAGCTTGGTAGAGAGGTCAGTGCTGGATTTATAAATTAAGTAGCCATCGGGTTATTGCTAATGTTTAAAGCTGTAAGACTGGGTCCAGGTTGAGAGTATGACTGAAGTGCACCTAGGACCCAGCCTCTGGACACCTCACCACTGAGAGTTTGGAAAGAGAAAACCAGCCTGCAAAGAAGACTGAAGTGTTCCAGTGTGGAGGAAAACCATAGAAAATGGCATCCCGAAAGTCACAAGCACACAATGTTCAAGAAGATGAGAGCGTTCAACTCGGTCAAATGCTGTGAAGACATCAACGAAGCTGGGAACAGAAACATAACTATTAGATGTGATAAAACTAGAGGTCATGGGTGACCTTAAAGAGGCATTTCAGTAAGTATGGGGGCTGGAAACCTATTTAGAGTCAACTGAGGCAAAAATGAAACGTGAAAATATTAAGACAGCACTTCTGTTTGCTGTCTTGGGTAGAGAAAAATGGGGTAGAACCTGGAAGGGGATAATGTCAAGAAAAATGTTTGAGTAGAAATGAATACCAGTGAGACTGATCCAATGAAAATGGAGAAATTGATGGTGTAGGAGAAAAACAAATTTAACTGCAGGAGGAAGTCTTGGGAGCAGGTAAGAGGGGATAAGAGGAAGCACAGCAGAGGGACCATACATAGATGACAGTAGGAACTCTCCACCCATCGCATTGGGAGGAAAGTCAGAGCGTGTGAGTTTATACATAAGTAGGTTGGTATATTTTGAGGTACATGATGAGGGGTTATTTTGAAACTAGACACAGAGCATATGTGTACTATGGGATATCAAAGCCAGTGTACATAATTTGTATTAATGAGTATACACAAATATATTGATCACCATCTTAAAGACATGAATAAGGCAGTAGAGAGAGGGATTTGAGGATATATCTTAGACATTGTTTTTGCTTGATTTGATTCTTCCATTTCTACCCATTACATTTTCATATACTGAAGATCTATGACTTTCTAGTTAGATAATTTTATAATGCTACCAGACAGGGAGCCAAACTCAAAATCTATCTTCCTTGAGAAGTTCTATCCTATTGTCTTAGTCTTCTCTGATTGTTTCTTGACCTCTAGGCTGCACCTCACAGTACAGTTGGCACTTAATCATTTCATATTTGTCTCCTGCTCATAGGTCTTATTGTCTCAAGTAGATGTTAAGGTTCCAGGATGCGGCCAAGTATTTTACAATAAAATATCATTGTCTCTCCCACTGCGAAAAACCTACTATTAGATATAAAGTGAGTACTTAATAAATGTTTGTTGATCAATTTATCTTTTAAGGGTTGAATGGCTATAAAGAGTTTTATGCAGTAATTCCTTGGCTAACAGACTACACGTAATTCTTCACGGCACCTGCTGGGCATTGCTGGGAGATGCTGAAATAATTCATCAATTTTCTCCTTTTTATGCTATTCAATTAGTCTGTCTAGGGCAAGGTCTAGAATGTACATCAATCAAAAGCACAATAATGACCTGTGTACAAGCTATCTCCATACTAATGATTTGCATCCACTATCTTACAGAAAGAGCTTTGGTCTAAGAAAGCACTGAAGTGAAGGAAACTTTAAGGAGAATACTGTAGTAAGAACTGAGAATTACCCAGTGTTACTGCTGCAAATAGTTTAATGATGAGTTTGAAATCAATTTGGCAGTACCTTTAGTGGAAAAATAATATTAAGAGAATTCTCATCACTATAGCCTATTTTGCATTGTCTTAGATAAAATTTTTCTTCAGCCTGCACTGAAAGCTTAAATGTCAGTAGATTTTTAGTATATGGACTTCTAGTTTGTTGAAATTACGTGTAGCATGTTTAGCTTTTAATTTAATTCCAATTCTTAAGGCAATTAAAACTATTTGGATATAATATTTAAATCAGAATCCAAATATGGCATACATATATTTTTCTTTTAAGAAGTAGTTGTACTGTCATACAATAGTGACCTTTAATTTTATGTAACAGGTTATCACGGAAAGTTAAAGAATTAATCATCAGAATAGCATTTAACCAAAAATCCCACATACCATATACATGGTAGTCTATAGAGCTCTGCAGAAGTGAGTGATTACAACTACTGTAAAATTTTGTCATTCTATAAAGTAGTCATTGACAGAATAAATGACTTTTTTCCATGTTATATGCAAATTGACAAAGATAATATCTGATAAAATGGAAAACACCAAGAGACGTAGAACTTCAGAATATATGAAACCCACACCAAAATATCATTAGCAACACTCTTTCAGTAGAATCCCATAGCATGAGACAATATTAATAGAGAGAATCTTTTAAGAACATTTGTTGCATAAAATATTTTAATTGAAACAATTAATGAATTCCATAAGATAAGTGTAGATTTATAAGATTTCCATTTTTCAATACTTACATGAAAAGATCTGATAACAGAGCCACTAAGTATAGGTAAGAAATATTAAACCTGTTTAGCTATTATTCTAGGTTTCTATTCATTTCTCACTAACTTACATTGATTTTTGTACTGCTTTTATTCATCCTATAAATTAGACTCCAACTGGTGATAAAATGTCAAAGTTTGCATTGTTCATCTAAAAAAAATAAATCTAGACAATTTAGAATTATTTAAAAATTAACCAATAAACTATGATCCATTTGCTCTCTTTGTGAGCGCTTGGGTGGAAAAGGAGACATATTAGTACATTAGTAAGGTGTTTCTTTTTCTTTAATCACCAGGAGAAAAGATATACAAATCTTTTTCTTAAAGCTTTTTTCTTTCCCACGGAGACAACACATCTTAAAACGAAGGTTAACAAGCAATTAATAGCACAGACTTAACTAAATATTGCAAATGTGATAGTATAATATCTTGGTAAATATGGGAATTTTGAGAGCCATAAAATTAAAGACTTTGATATGTGTGAGATCAATAGACATGACTTATCACTATTTAATATGAGCTTTAATTTTTAAATGCCATGTTCCAATGAAAAAGTATATTACACAGGAAAATTGAAATTTCAATAAAGAATCAAGACAAAAGAAACAAACTTTATATTAAAGTACCTCTAAAGGTTGTACTTACGCAGCAACCTCCTCTTTTGACAATCCTTTGAAATTCACCTCTAGATAATGATCTATGTCATCTTTTTCTTTGATCAATTGAGACCTAAATGAAATAGAAAGAAATAATAAAGCACCACCTTATCAAGTTGAAAAGCTACCAAACATGTAAAATGCCACTAGGAGAATAGAAATGTTCAGGGTATAATACCATATATAATAAATGCAATAGCTATAGAGTTAGGTCATTGGCTGATCATTTCAAAATTTTATCTTTCCTGAATGGAAAATGATAACGAAGAATATTAAACCCAGTATGTAAACAAATAAAACACCAACACCTTGAAATAATTCACTTTCTACTTAAGAGTCTTCTCCTCAAAGCTTATAAGATCTTCTATTTTGCTCACATTTTTTCGTGGTGTAACTTTCCAACTGCTGAAGTTATATACTGTTTGGCACAGAATCCAGAGCCCAGAACACCTGTTTGATTCAAATATATAACATGAATTTGTTCCAAACATTACTGAATTTTGTCCTGAAATGCTCTTTGAACAGTTTTTTAAATCACACATAAAACTCAAATTACTAAAGGTTCAAGGTGTGATATGATTTTAAGAAGCCCTTATTGAAAATATATTATACTTGTAGTGCATTCATTCTTCACACCCATTTGCACCTTTAAAAATCAGCATGCTATCAACTTCTCATAACTATGATGATATGGAACTAAACAAATATCAGTGTTTTATTCAGAAGCTATTAAAGAATGCTGATACAAACTTTGCCTTTAGGGGGTATGATAAAAATCTTTTTCTTCAATGAAATGAATACAAGAAAAAGTTTTCTTTAAAACTCATCCTATCCTACGGATATGAGATTTGGCTATGCTTTTGCTCACCTTGAAAACAAAATATAAATTAAATCCTTTAAAAGGCAGAAAGAATAAGCTTTTTCCGACTTCATAAATATTTTACATTATTCAAAAGTAAAACAAAAAATATGTATATATATTATAGTATACACACATGAATTACACATTCATTGAAAGATTTATCTGCTATAGGAAAAGAAAATTTTGATTTACTATTTTAAAAGAATTTTTATGTTAGTTTAGCTGAATGTATTTATTTTGGTCTGGGGGCTTTGGTTTTTCCTAGAAGAAATACTAAAAGTGAGGCATGAGAACAAAGAAGACTCCTAATACTTTGATCATTATACCTTGCAGGAATGGAAAAGTAGGCATATAAAGAAAATAAACCTATGTATGCAAACTATTTATATTGGTAAATAATATGTGTATTACAAAAAGTCAATAGAATTATAAATGGCAATTTCAAAATAGCACAATCAGTTAATATTCATAATTATGACAAAATGTATCAGTTTCTCTGTCCTGCATTTCCTCAGTGACACTTTGAGTAGCTCAGCAGTCACTCATGGGCAGCAGCAGTTTGATGATGCATTTTCAGGCCCCAGCATCATCTCAGGAGCTGATTCATGCCCTCCAATCTACCCTACAAGTAAGGCTCTACCCTCCTTCTTCCTAAACATAAGTCAGCCCTTGGGACCTTATAGATTAAAAGCATTACACCTTTCAGTCCGGGCATGGTGGCTCATCCCTACAATCTCAGCATTTTGGGAGGCCAAGGTGGGTGAATCATTTGAGGCCAGGAGTTCCAGACCAGCCTGGCCAACATGGCAAAACCTGTCTCTACTAAAAATACAAAAAATTAGCTGGGCATAGTGATGCATGCCTGTGGTCCCAGCTACTCAGGAGGTTGAGGTACGATAATCGCTTGAACCCAGGAGGCAGAGGTTGCAGTGAGCTGAGATCACACCACTGCACTCCAGCCTAGGTGACAGAGTAAGACTCTGCCTTAAAAAGAAAAAAGCTTTACACTTTTCATTCCCAAAGCTTCTGCTTTCTGTTCTCCACACACATTTAAAACAGGAAACTTACCTCCAAAACTCTATGGGAACCATGATATAATTGCAATAGGAAATAAAATGATGAAATAACTAGATTAATAAATAAATAATTTGCAGTATTTGAATGTGGTTCATAAATCCTTTTGAAACAACAGATTTCAATATTCTCAATATAACAAGGTATGTTTCTCCTCTCTTGAAATGATTTTATTTTCTGAGATACATTATTGACATTTCTTACTACAGAAAATTCATTCTGTAGGAAAATAAGTAAAAACCAGGGGCATGTACCTTGGAATTTTTCTGGAGGAGCAAGGCAGCTTCTGTCTGGCTAAGGCTGTAAGCTTCGGGCGTGTCATGGGCAGTGGGGGCAGGGTGGTCATTTCGGACTACAAAAAGAAATAAGTAGAAATTGTATTTTAAAGAATAAATCTTTCGAAGGATCCTTTAAGACATTATTAGAGATTCACAGTCTGTCATCTTAGTTGAGAATGTCTACATGTAGTGCTATAGCTGTGTTATTCAGGAATGATGCTCAGTGAGTGGATTCTGTAGGTTGCTTCTCTCATTATTTTCCTCCATTGTCTGCTTTTTGGCCAATTTATTATTTGTCTGTATCTTCACCACAAAGCAGATAAGAAGAAAATATGATAAAAGCATTGATGGTTCAGTTGGCATATTTGGTAAGAGTTTTGTAAGGGACATGATTGCAATTAAAGAATAAAGATTTTTAGGATAGCTACGGATTTCCAATGTTTATGTGTTGCTTTCCTGTTATTATCAATAATTGAAAATTGCTCATACTTGCTGTTTTCTAAAAGCCTTATCGCTCGCAAATAAAGGCTTTCCCTTAGATGTGATAGATGATAAGAACAATTCTCAACAAGGAGACAGCTGCCCTGAGAAAGCACACAGCCATAACAATATAATGAATCACTCAAAATGTACTGTTTTTAAAAAGTTGTTTAAAACAACTTTATCTCACACCTTACATGGGTCAGGAATAAGGACAGGGTATGATAGGCATGGACTTTTTCTCCTCCATGATGACAGGAGCCTCTGCAGAGAAAACTCAGAAGCTGTGGTAACCCAATGATAGGGGACAGGAATCACCTTGAAGTGTCTTCACTCACTTTTCTAGTGGTTGATGCTAACTCTTAGCTGGGACTCAACTGGGGCTATCTGCTAGAACTCATACATGTAGTCTCCTCATGTGGCATAGGCTTCTTCACATCATGGCAACCTAAGACTTCTTATGTAGCAGCTCCAGGCTCCAAAGGCAAGTATTTTAGAGAATAGGCAGGCAGAAGCTTTATCCTCTTTTAGGGTCTACCCTTGGAAGTCACATAGCATCCACTTCTGCTGTAATAACAAGTTCACCCAGATTCAAGGCAAATGAACACAGAACCACCTATTGATAGGGGAGTGTCAAAGTTTCATTGTAAGAAAAGAATATGGCATGGGAGATGCTGTTGCAGCCCTTTTTGGAAAATGCACTGTGCCACAGTGGTGAGCAATTAGCAAGGCAAGTCTATAAAATCAAGTTATCTAAATCTTACTTCAAAGGGACATAGGGACATGATGTCTGTGAACTTAGAATAGAAAAACTGTTACATGGTGCAAGGGCTCTCAGATGCAAAAGAACCCATGCTTCTGTTAAATAGAGAGGCATCCAAAAGGCCAGGGGCTCCTGATCCCACCCCCTCTATATCCACCAGGTTTGACCTGTACTCTTAGCTTCAACAAGCAACTGAAAGACTTGTTTTAGGTTTTAAACAGCTTATCTTCAGCATTACTACCTGTGTGACCCAGGGAAAATCACAATAAAATCCGGGCCTTGAATATATTCAGCAGATATTTAGTGAGCTCCTTTTTGGTGCCAGACACTGTTCCAGGTGCCAAAGATACAGCAGTGAAGAAAAAGACAAAAGTATCTGATCTCGCAGACTTTGCAGTATGGGGGTAAATATGGAGAAAGACAATACACAAATAAGAAAAATACATAGAACCTCAGATGTTGATAAGATTCTCTACTGGAAAACAAAGCAGGGAACTAGAAACTACCCAAATGCTCACCAATGGCAAAGGGATGAATAAAAACAGGAGACAAGCTCAAAGACATTACAGAGAATTTTGTTGGGTGTCCTAACAGTGCAATGTCTTGAGGGTTACTGTAAAAACTGGCTTTTATTCTCATTGAGGTAAGAATCCACTGGAGGATACAGGGCATAGAATTGATACGCTCTGACTTTCATCCTGAAAGGATCACTCTGACTTTTTCTTTCAGGTTAGACTGTAGTAGGGGAAAGGGTAGACAGCAGAGAGGCTAGCTCAAAATCTCCTGTGAAATACAGGGGAGAGAGGGTGGTGTCTTAGGTAGGAGTAGAGGAGAGATGTAGTCAAACCTGAAATAGAACCACCTGTGGATGGCTGAGACCCAATATTCCTCTAGTGCTACAAAGCCATGGTGGAGGTGGGTGTGGAGAAGCACTAAGACGAGAGAAAATCTTCTGAAATTCAGTGTAAACAGACAGCTTCGTGTTACTGAAAAAGATTATTACCCTGGCCTAAAAATCATTTTTTACATAATTAAAGAGAATTCTAATGGAGATCAGTGGTTTATTTTAAATATAATAGAATCCCAGTACTACCAGCTTATCAAGGCGTGATACGATCTATGAAACAAAATGCCCACTTATTTTTATGCAGTTGTAGATTTAAAGTGCACAATCTAAACAGCAAATGTTAGTCCTCTCCTACAGACTAAACATTAGAAACATACTCTATTACCCTTCATAACTTCATAACATAATGACAATTTTTTTTTAATTTTAAAAATCTATTTTTCTGATTAGATGCTACATTAAATAGTTGAGTTACTGGAATAACAAGAATTTACTAAATGGCGACATCATACAGAGCATATGGTAAGAAGATATGACTCATGTGAGGTTTGAAGGGACACCAAAGCTCCCCAAACGGGCCTCCCAAGAGCATACTTCAGAGGAGCTATGAAGACTGTTCCACAGAGTTCAGAGTCTTCCAATGTTACAGTGAACATCTGAATGATCTAAGTTCTTAACCCAGACCAGTGTAGCCCTAGTAAATTTCAAAAGGGAGAGAGGAAAACAACTAAGTTTGCTTTATTTGGGGGCATTCCATCATCTACAAATTTTAGACTCTTTTCTAAAAGCCCCACTTAACTTGCCAAAGCATTATGCAGTGGGCACTGGGGCCAGGGTAATCTCTTCATAATTGCAGGCATCTTTGAAGAGTTCACTAAGGAGGTTCAAAATGAGGAACAGCGCTTGCAATTTCCTTGAATACTAAGAATATTCAGCTATTTGTAGACAGATAAAAGAGAGCAGGCCCCAGAGGTGCTGATCCAGTCAACATAGCTCATCCAGGTGAGTATAACTCCTCACCAAAGTTGGCATACCAGCATGTTATATAAAATTTATCCTTTTTGATGTTTACTTGAGATCGAATAGAAACCAAATGCAAATGACATACATGGAGAGGGGTATGTCTTCTTTGTCATACAGATCAACTGCGCTTTTTTTTTTTTTTCAAACTCTGAGTCAACGTTTCCTACCATTAAAGTTTCAGCTGCCAGTTCCTTCATTTTGCTCTCCTCTGATCTAAGAACATTAGCAGCAGGAGCACCTTTACTCTTAAATTTAGTTTAATGTAAGTACTGCAAGCCCTGCTGGCAAGCCTCAAGGCACAAACTCTGAATGGGGGGTGGTCAGAGCTGAATGATAAAGTGGAAAAAAGTTATCAGAGCTGAATGATAAAGTGGGAAAAAAAAAGCATGTTGGAAAAAATATCGCTCAATCAAACTATGTTGGAAAGTTGAAGCTTAGAGTGAGGGTGGAAGTTGAACAGGCTTTCTCCTTGTTTCTGAACCCCACATCCTGCCTTGCCAATGCCTACCGGGAAAGGGAATTTTGTTTCTCAGAATCAATACATGGCCACATAAGGTATTTTGTTTTACAAAACAGATAATGTGTGATCTGAATTTTATGACACAGTTAATATTTTGAATGCACCAAATATTTAAAGGGGTCCTGTAACAAATTACTTTCTTATCTAAGTAATTGCCATCTTTTATGCCTTATAAGTTCAAGCAGGGTTTGTGGTACTTACATTAAATTAAATGCCTGTAAAGAAAGCCTTTTGGTCTTTGTTAATATGAGTTGCATCATTTTCCTGGTGTTGGTCAGACAGCATTCTCAGTTTCCATGTGAGCTCCAGCCTAGACTCCACAATGAAGAATGGGACTAGTGCTATGAGGTGACTGACCCAGGCCTGTAGCATAAATGGAGCACATCGCCATCAGTTATGGCACCTCCTTAGGGTTCTCCTAGATCAACATCTCAGGGGAAAACACACAAGATAGGTGTGACTGCAGGAAAGGAAATTGCTCAGGTTCAGGTGAGTAAGAAAGAAGAAGAATGAAAGATACCTCTTTGGCTGGCATCAGAATGAGCTTAGCCCCAGGAGCTCAGGCTGAATCAGCTTCTTAGGAGGACCCAGAGGCACCTCCCCAGTGCCAGCAAGTGGGCAGTGCTGCAGTGTGGCACCATCAGGTGCTGAGACAAAGATCAAAAGGCCGCCTGAAGCCATTCCACTGTTGGTATTCAGAAGAGATTTGGTGCACCCTTTGATCTGCTGGTTGGCTCTTGTATCACAGTTACAATCTCTAAGTTTGGCCCCCACATGCAAAGACAAATGAGAATGGAGAAATACAGGATGAAAGGTTTGAGAGTGCTAGGTCAGGTTGAATGTGTCCCATGGTGTGAGTTTAAATTTTTGACCCCCAAGTAAAATTCTTCAAAGAGTAACCCTCCTTCCCTCTATCCCCAGAGATGCCTTTATCAGGAAACACAAAGGAGGGAGGCCTACTACTGTGTACACGGAGGCTACTTGGAGAATGACTATGTCTGAGGCTGACCAGTGTCTCCAGGGTTCAGTCACTTTGGAGTAAAAACTGAGATGAGAGAAATAAAGCCAGTAAAGCACAGTAAGCGAGTTTATTGTACATCATCACAAGTTCAAAACAAATATGATTTTACTAAAAATCATTCATAAGAATTAAAACTTTTCCTATTATCACAAGCTCTTTTACTACGAAAGTTTAACAAAAACTACAGAAGAAACATCACTATGCTCCCTAAGTAAAAAATAAATAAATTTATGAAGAGTCACTAATAATGTTTATTCCTGGTATCATAATTTTTTGACACTTCTGGCACTCTCTCGTGGGTAATTAGATAGGTTGTTATGTAAAATAAATAGAAAACACATTTCCTACCAACTGACATTGATGGCTAAATCACAAAATCAAGCAGGAAAAGAGTCTGAAGGCAATCCATATTTCACTTGACTTACATTTGCAGATTACTGCTGATGGTCTCTCCAGGCTTATAGACTTCAGCCTGAAAATCAGGAAGCAAAGAATAATAGCAAAGAAGAAAATAAGTTTAAAATCAGTCAGTAGTGTAGCTCCTCTCCCCGCCCCAAGTCATGGAATAAGATTCACTCTTATAACAAATACTAAGTTCCTACCATCTAAGTTTAGATGAACTTTTAAAGAAAACCCCCAAGTATAGATCCTATAGGAGAAACTAATCACTAAATCAGTGAAATGCCAAAACATCTGAAATATGTATATGTATTGATGTATTTCAATACAAATGTGACATTAGGGATTACCATTTGCTCTCTCAAATTTACAAGATAGAGTTATCTTTGCCAAAAACCGAGAGCATCTCAGTTCCTTTTCTGTTCCCACCTAGTTCTCAACAGGACTAAAGGACTTATCCTATGCATAGTTGTTCACTTCCCTCAGAGGGTCAGGTGAACTGGGGAATAAGAGGAACTGGCGCCTTTCCCTACTTCTCTTTCAATTAGTTTCTTGAGGTACGTGGCGAGGGCCTGGACTCAGGAAGCTTGAGAAAGACTGATGGAGGAAGGGCTGTAGGGGGTCAGGGAAGGGGCTGCCTGAAGAACAGCCCGCCTCTCCAAGGAACTGAGGAGGTCCTGTCCCAGCTTCGCCCCTGCCGTCACGAACCTCGGTGCACTCGCCCAGGGAAACAACTCCAGTTTTCCCTTCCACTGAAGTGAGTCCCCCACCGGCGGCAGGTGCTGGGCGTCGGCGCCGCCCCCTCCTCTGTAAGTGATTCCGAGGCCTGGCTGCGCCGGCGTGGAGAGAGGGGACGCCGAAAGCATCTCCAGGGAAACAAGAGAGGCGAGGCGGGACGACCGGGGGTGGGGTTAGGCTAAACCGGGCCTTGGGATTGGGGCAGCTCCCAGACTCTTCGGGCTTGGGGGCGGAGTCTGGCGAGAGGCGGAGCTTACTGATGGCCGGGCGGGGCCCCCAGACAGCGGAGGCTTTTCAAGCAGGGTTGCTTTCAGAAGTTAGCTCGCTTTTAGGCATTTTCACATAACCCAAGGGGCTCGAATTTGCCACTTTCATTTCTTTCGTGGCCTTGCATTCTCAATGTTTTTCTTCATTGCCGTTTTGTCCACAGGATTGATAGGAAAACGCTGAGCCAGGCATCCATGACCCCGTGACCTGAAGCCAATTTATCCATCTAGCTAAGTCATTCATTCTCCTCTTCCTCAGCCTCTCTTGCAGTCAGAACCCACCACAAATGCCTCCTGTCCTGGCCCCACAGACAATTCAATTTTGAATTGTGGTTCGCTAAATACTCAAGGTCTCTTTAAGAGAATCTCCCTGCATCTGTCCTTATTCGTTTTGCATTTTTACCTGAAACTCAGGGTTTTGTATTTACACTAAATAAATATCATCCTGTTAATCTGGGCCCATCATGCCATCTCTCCTCTCAGAATGAGTGCAAGGAAGTGAACCTTCTTGCTCATTCCCTCATATATATGGGGCAAGAAAGTGAGGCTTGCCACTTGTTACTTCTAAAATACAAAAGTGCTGGAAAGTTAGGCTTTTGTTCCTTGTCTCCTGTCACGCATTGTAGGAGAATGAGTCAGCAATATTGCTCACACGAATCATTCTACTAACCATAAATCGATTCTATCTGGAGTACAAGCATATCTACCATAACCACACTTTCATTCTAACATCTGATTTGCTGTCACAAGTTAATAAATTATTTCCAAGTAAGTTTACATTATACATTCAGTGATGACTATAACAATCTGTAACTGGGCTCCACCCATCCCCCACACCAGTAAGACTCTCATTCTATTCTCATGAGTTTATTTTCCAATTTCAGCATCACCTTAACACACTCCACTGTGACCTGTGTGAATTCTTTTCCAGTCCTTGCTGCTTTTTCTGACTTAGAGGTTTGTGAATTCCATTCACCTTCCTTTCTCACAGGAGGCTGTCTTAGTTGGCTTTCTAGGTAGATCCTTCCTGCTTCTTTGGACTTATTTCTCCTACTTGCTGTTTTTTCACTATTAGTTCTTTGACTAATTCTCTTTCTCCTTCTGTTTAGCATAGAATTCCTTCAGTTAGAGAACTTTGTTCGCAAGTGACAGGAAACTCAAATGGGCTTAAGCGTAAAAGGAAACTGACGGCAAACAAAGGATGCCAGATTCAAGTGCAACTTTATCTAGAGACTCAGGCCTTTCTGAAAGCTTTGAGGATTCCAGAATACCCCTACCTTTCACAGAATTAATTTCTCCTCCTCTCGCCTCCTTTCTCTTAGACCTACCTTTATTTTATCAGTATAACTTTGCATGGTGTTTGGCTTATGGGAACCAAACTTGCCTGAAAGATTTTGAGTACCTTGAAAGCACAGACTTTGTCTTATTGTTTTCTGAATTCCCTGGAATAGTACAAGGATTAGTATACAGTATGTGCTCTAAACTGTTTTTTGAATTAACTGAATGAATGACAGAATAGAGTGGTTTTTCAAACAGATTCTTCCTTATGTAATTCTTCTCATTGCTTCCTCAATCTTCCCCACCTAGAATTCTAGGGAGAAGGTCAGGTGATGCAATTGATAATTTGAATACTATTACTGACATAACAACCTCTAAAGTTTCTTCTTCCAATCTTTCTCTGGAGAAATGATTTTAGATTAGGTCAGCTCCCTAAAGAAGCAAGTGATAATTTTCTAGTGCAAGCCAAACCATCTTAACTACTCCCCATAATTGTTCTCAAAGTGGTTTTGTTATCTCGATCATCAATTTCTACAGTAAAATTATTCTGAATTCTTCTTGTTTTACTAAACACGTCCCCAAGTAACATCTTAGGAAAGAACATATGAGATAAAATTTTGAAGTTCTTTCATGTCTGACAATATCCTTATTTTGCCTACGATCTTTTGGTAGGGTTGCACATTCTAAATTAACAATCATTTCCCTCTGAATTTAGAAGGTATTATTTCACTGTTTTCTAGTATCCAGTGTTCGAGATGAGAAGTCTAGGGTCAATTTTATTTTCCTTCCTTTGTATGTGATGTAATAGTAAGATCCATATGCAGTGACAACCACAAATCTGTGTGGCCTAAAACAACAACGTTTGTTTATTGATTACAGTATGTCACCATCACAAGTCAGCCTTGGGCTCTGCTCCATGCTATGTTACAGGAGAATCAATATGAGAGAACCTTTGCCAGCCTGGAGGATGGCTGGTCTGTAGCAGAGAGATCATGAGAGTAGACTGCACGTTAGCTTTAAAGGCTTCCTCCAAAAGGATACCCATCAGTTTCGCATTTCGTTGGCCACAACTGAAATAGCCATGCTCAACTTTAAGAAAGCAGGTATCTGTGATTTCACCTGTGTCTGAAAGACTAGATACCAATTAATGGTCATAATGATGGTCGTAGACCTGGTTTTTCCCCTCAACACAGGCATTTTTAGGTTACTTTCTTTATCTATTTTATTCTCGAATTTTATGGTAGAACTCTTCAGCTGGGTACTCACATCCTTCTTTAGATTTAGATAATTGTCTTCAATTTTTTAAATTATAATTCCCTTGTCTGAAACTTGTTCTATTATTTCTTTAAGATTCTGTTTAGTGAATGCAGATCCCTAGATTTGTCATTTTTATCCTTGATCTTTTTTAAAAGATTTTTATTCTTTTTGCCTTTATATTCTAAAGTCTGTAAGTTTTTGACAATATTGCTTTTTAGTCTTCAATTGATTTTTTTGTACATAGGAGGAGTCACATTCTTAGTCTTTGAGCGTTCTTGCTTTCTGATTGCTCCTTCTTTATAGACTCTTCTTTTATGAATGAAATGGTTTGCAATTATCTTCCAATATATTAATTTGTTTTTTAAAGTTGTCTTTTTATTTTTAATGTCTGTGGGCACATAGTGGGTGTATATATTTATGGAATACATGAATTATTTTGATATAGACATAAAATGTGTAATAATCACATCAGAGTAAATGGAGTACCCATCACCTCAAGCATTTATGCTTTGTGTTACAGACAATCCAACTGATACTCTTATTTTTAAATGTAGAATTAAATTATGATTGATTGCAGTCACTCTGTTGTGCTATAAAATACTAGATCTCATTTATTCTTTCTAACTATATTTTTGTACCTCTTAACCATCCCCACTTCCACCCCTACCCCCTCACTACCTTTCCCAGCCTCTGGTAACCATTCTTCTACTCTCTATCTCCATGAGTTCAATTGTTTGAATTTTGAGTGCCCACAAATAAGTGAGAACATGTGAAGTTTATCTTTCGGTGCCTGGCTTATTTCACTTAACCTAATGACCTCCAATTCCATCCATGTTGTTGCAAATGACAGGATCTCATTTTTTTAATGGTGGAACAGTACCTCAAAGTTGTCTTTTTTTGTTAAATTATCTTTTCTTCCAGGAAAAGTGTTTCTTTTGTTAATGTTGAAATTTCTATGTTATATACCATATTGTATTTGGTTATTCTATTAATTAGCATTAGGTTCAGCTGTGAGTTACAAACAAACAAGCAAACTACAGAATAGGAATGACACTCCATGGTGTCAGATTCCTAGTTCCTTCTGTTTTTAGCTTCACTACACATGGATTCCATTCCCAAGATTGCCTCACTGGTGATCCAGCTATTATATCTTATCCAAAGAAAGCCTGCACAGGGATGAGGGGGTCAAATGGGGAACCTAGTGGTTAAATTTTTAACAAAGGAAATTGTGCTATCTAGGCATATTCAGAGAAGACTTAGTAGCCTAAAGGGCAAAGCACCTATTAAGCATTTTCCACTGAGGCATCTTTGCTCAGAAAATTCCCCGTTCTTGACTGATATAACTGTTCTTTCCTTGCTTGAAGATACTGCTACTTCTTTGCCTAAGGTGGTTCTCTTGAAGAAAAAATACAATACATTTTTATTTACCCAACCTATCCAGATCTGTAATTAGAAGTGAATTCCATCATGTCCTAGGGGACACTATTTTAAATATCCAAATCTGAGGAGGCTCTTGTAAACGCACACATGCGCGCAAACACACACACACACACACACAGAGACAGAGAGAGAGAGAAAGAGAGAGACAGAGAGAGAGATGAATTTGCTGGTTTATATCAGTAAAACTCTAAGAACATTGTTTTCTTTCAGAATAGATTTTTGAGGATTCTTCAACAAAAAGGTTGGAATACAATATTAGAAAAAATAAATTTGTCAAATGAGTGCATTTTCCAGAGATTCTAAATTCCATGTGTTATTTTGGGTGACTAAGTGTATTTGACACTTTTCTGCTTTGGGTAATGCAAACCTTCCCAACTCTAAAGTAAGCTGTGTTGCAAAAAAAGATAAAAGTTTAATTTTAAGTCTTTCAGAAACAGGAATGCTAGCATACATCATTATGTCTTACCTCCTAACTATGTTCCCTTAAGACCATGTTGAAATTTTCCATTCCTCAAGGATTTGAGATCTACAAAGCCAGAGACTTTGTAAGTTCATTATCATCATGTTTCCCTTGTTTAATAGCGCTAGTGGGAGATGTTAAACTGAAACGGGCACCATGACTTCAAGAGAGAGACAATGTTTCCAGGAAAGAAAGGCTAGATTATCAAATCTCATGGGATATTTGGTGTATTTACCATAAACATACAGCCGTGCCATAGTGTTAATTAGTATGACCTGATCTACAGAGATCTACGATTATGATTAATTGGTTATGACATTGTTAGAAATCAAATAATGGGTAATCTACTTAGAATTTGATTTGTATGAGAAAAGGGGAAAATAAAGTCTCCTAAATCTGGTAAACAGAGGCCTGACCTGAGTTACCACAGTGGAGTGTAG